TTTCCCCCATGTCATGGTTAGTTTTAATTGTCAACTTGACATAATGTGTAATGTCCTGGAAAGAGTCTCAGTAAGGGGCTGTCTAGATCAGATTGGCCTGTGGGCATGTCCTTAATTGATGTGGGAGAACTTAGTCCACTGTGGGTGGCACAAATCTCTGGGCTTGGGTCTTGAATTGTTAAGAGTAGAGAAAGTGAGCTGAGTAGACGCATGCAAGCTCTTGAGTGCAGCTGTGATGGGACTAGCTGCTGTAAGCTGTTGCTGCCTTGACATCCCTAGCAGTGATAGCCTGTAACCTGGAATTTCTTTGTCAGGGTATTTTATCACAGCAACAGGAAATTAAAGTAGGACACCCCAAATTATTAACCAATCGGCCCAGAAGCATTGATTTAAATAATCCTTTTTCTGTTGACTTGTGATGCTGCTTTTATATGTACTGAATTATGACACTAAGTGGGGTTTGTTTCTAAACTTCTTCCTGCTTTATATATTTTAGTGCAAGTATGCTGTTTCCTTTCCTTTTCTTTCTTTTTTTTTTTCTTTTCCTTTTTTCAGACAAGGTTTCATGTAGTCTAGGTTGGCCTTGAACTCCTCATGTACCTGATCTTCCTACTTCTATATCCCAAGTGCTGTGATTGCAAGCATGTGCCACCACACATAGCTACCATACTATTTCATTGATTATAATTAATATAATATACTTGAATAAGTGCCCCTGGACCATTCTGTTTTCTCACAAATTTTGCCAGTTAAGAATCCTCAGAATTCTCCAATCCACCAAGATCTTCTCATACTAGGGGGAAAAAAATCCTGCTGAGATTGAAACTGCCATAATACATTTTTTATGTGGGAAGAATTTTTTATTTTATAGCACTGCTAATTCTCTCCACTTATTCACGTCATCTTTAAATACTTCAGTAGAATTTTGCTATTTGGGGCTGGAGAGCTGGCTCAGTGGTGAAGATCACTGGCTGCTCTTACAGAGGACCTGGGCTTGGTTCCTAGCACCTACATGGTGACTGACGGCCATCCATAACTCCAGTTCCAGGGAATCCAATGCCCTCTTCTGACCTCTGTAGGCATTGCACACAAATAGTAAACACATCAGTGTAGGCAAAACACTCATACAAAATTACTTTTTTCTTCAAATGCCCTAGAAAATACCCAGAAAGATTATTCCTAACCAAATGTATATATTCCCACATTTATATGTATATATACAAATGTTTTTATACAAATATTTGCTGTTGTTACTGCAAATGAGACCTGAAGACCTACTGGGGAAAATACTTACAATACATATTATAGGCAAAAGTTTAATTCATGATATTTTTTGTTTTGTTTTATTTGAGACAGGGTCTTGCTATGGAGCTCAGGCTAGCTTCAAATTCACTATGAAGCCCAGACATTCTTTGAATTCATGAGGCCTCACTTAGCCTCCCAAGTGCTATTAAAGAAAAAATAGGGCGTGGTGGCGCATGCCTTTTAATCCCAGCACTCAGGAAGCAGAGGCAGGAGGATCTCTGTGAGTTCAAGGCCAGCCTGGTCTACACAGTGAGCTCCAGGCCAGCTGGGGCTAGAGCTGTATCAAAGCCAAAAAAAAAGAAAAAGAAAACAATAAACGTGTCATCATTTTCAGACAAAAAATGGATGAAGGCCAGATAGATCATTCATAAGAGAAACATGATTGGCTAGCAAATTACAGAAACTCCTTCATCCTGAATATCAATTATAGGAATATAGATGAAAATGGGAGGTGACTTTCAATACCAAACTAATGAAGGTTTTGTTTTGTATATTTAACTTTGTTTGTTCTTTTTTAGTGCTGGGGATGGGATCCAGGGTCTTATGCATACTAGGCAAGTGCTCTACACTTGAGCCCCAGCCCCAATCCCAGTTGCTGTTTGTTTGTTTATTTACTTATTTATTTATTTATTTACTTACTTATTTACTTATTTATTGGTGTTTTGAGACAGGGTCTCCCTGTAGCCCCAGCTGACCTTCGTGAAACCCACTATGTAGACCAGGCTGGCCTTGAACTCACAGAGATATGCCTGCCTCTGCCTCCCAAGTACTGGGATTAAAGGTGTGTACCACCACGCCCAGCTGTTGTTTTTATTTAGTTTTGTTTTAATCCAAAAAAGAACCAGCTGACACTCTCTTCTTCCCAAAAAATTCAAGTAAAGAATAATCTTTCCAGGGGTGGAGAGATGGCTCAGCGGTTAAGAGCACTGGCTGCTCTTGCAGAGGACCTGGGTTCAGTTCCTAGCACCCACATGGTAGTTAACAACCATCTGCATCTCCAGTTTCAGGGCATTCAATACCTTCTTTTGGCCTCTGTGGACATTGCACACAAGTGTGCACTTACATACATGCAGGCAAAACACTCATATACATGAGAAAAAAATCATTTTTAAAAATTTAAAGAGTAACCTTTCCATCTAAATTCTCCTCTTACATGGAGAGTTTTCTTTTTCTTTTTTCTTTCCTTTTCTATTTTATGTTTGGAGGGGGAGATGCTGGCCTGGAACTCACTAGGGCTAGCCTCAAACTCAAGACAATCCTCCTGTCTCAGCTTTCTGAGTGCTAGAATTACAGGTATGAGCTATCATACCCAACTCTGAGAGTGTTCTACTGGCCCGACCCTGTGGGTGGCAACGCAGCCACCTCACCTTGCCTTTCCTGCCAGGAGACGCTGCAATCCCCGTGCCTCCTCTCCTCCCTTCTCATGCTGTCTCTCCTGATTCTCGCAGTACCTGTCTGACTAGTGCTAGAGGTCTGTCCTACAATTTGCTTCCTTCTCAATTGATGAGAATACCTCTACCCATGTATTCCAAACCATCAGCAAAGTTTATATATCATATGTATACTAAAGTTGACTAAACTAGTTTTAGGCCTGATTTCAGTCCTACACAGCTATACATCTAAATACCTTCAGTGTCGCTGACTAGCAAAGGCATGACACTCAGTTTGATCCCCAGAACTTCACATAAATACATAAATATGTTTCCAGCTAACACTTATAAAAACCTAACCCTCAACATTAAACCCAATTAAAATGATGACATGATTTCTGCTGACCTCCCCCTTCATGACAGCTTTGTGCCGGTGGGTTAGAATGCAGGGAGAATCTGGGTGCCTCCTTCCTTGCAGCCATTCACATTCAGATCTCTTCTCACTACCAGCTCTGGCTCCTGTACCTGGTTTTTCCTACCAGAATTAGTCTCTGGCCTTCAGTCTTGCAGCCTGCAGCCTGCAGCCTGGTCTTGCTCAATTACAAACATGATTCTGCTCTCCCACCCTCTTTTTTCTCTGGTGGCGTGTGTGTGTGTGTGTGTGTGTGTGTGTTCGTCTGTGTGTTTATACACGTGTGTCTATGTGTCTGTGTGTTCATGTGGGTGTATGCACATGTCTATGTTCACGCAGAGGCCAGAGGTCAAAGTGAGTATCTTTGATAGCTCTCCACCTTCTGTTTTGGTTTTGTAGCCCTTGGCTGGCCTAAAACTTACTCAGTACACCAGGCTGATTTGGAACTCACAGTGATTCGCTTGCCTCTGCCTCTCTCTGGGATTAAATCTCTGCTGGGATTAAAGGTGTGCGCCACCACACTCCCCAAGCTGTACATCTTAATTTTTGAGACAGAGTCTCTTACTAAACCTGGAGCTCATAAATTCAGCTAGCCTGGCTGACCAGTGAGCTCCAGGGGTCTTGTGTACACACACACACACACACACACACACACACACACACACACACACACACACACACACACACACACATACACACACACAACCAATTACAGGATTACAGACGAATGCTGCCAGTCCCAGCTTTTTCTGTGGGTTCTGAAGATCCAAACTCAGGTCTTAATGCTTGTGTGGCAAGCACTTTATTGACCAAGCCATTGTCCTAGCCCCCTGTTCCCTTTGATCAAAAATCATCACTCATATAGAAGAAAGCCCAGGCCTCATTGGCATTTCAAGCCCTGGAGGAATGGAGACCTTCCCATCTCTGTGGCCAGCTCTCACCCAAACAATGATGAACATTTCAGACTGGACACATCTGTACTTCCTTTTCTTTGACCATGACCCTTTGTGGCAGTACTTAAGTTTCTTTCATTGTTGCACTCTCTACCACCAACCACACATGGGAGACCATCAGTAAGGTGCTCAATGGATTGAGTTTCTAGGTGGAAATATAGCTAAGGGTATTATAGAAAAGGAAACTGAGCCAAGCAGCTATGAAAGTGCTTACATGGTGCTATTGGAGATGTGTACTTCTGCAGGCTGTGTGGATCTCATTAGAGACAGCAGGGAAGAAGGGGTGTTAGGAATCACAGGTGGATCATCTCAAGATCAGGCCCCACAGAGCTAGGTGAGAAGCTATGTAGAATGGACTTGAACTTACAAGCATCAAAAAAATCTGTGCAGAGCCTCCTAGCACTCGGGAGGCTAGAGGGAGGTGGAGCTTCTGAGCTTGTAAAAGAAGAAAGGTCCCATGATCAGCTGGTATCCAACTCCCACTTCCTACAGAACCCAGACGTCTTTCATGGTTTCCTATGTCACCACACTGCAAAAGGGTGACAGACCCCCAAACTAGCAACAGAAGGTTTGAAGGTGGAGGAAGAATTCAGAGACATTGAGGAGAAGCTGCCCTGGGTGGGCAGGAGGAACCATCCCGGTGATGCTGCTTACGAAAAATCAAGGATCTCTGGGAAGGAGCAAGGCACAAGTTTGACTTTACACATGCTGAGTTTGAAATGCTTGTCACACCAGTCTGGCGGCAAGCTATCCAACAGGTGATCACAAATGCTGGTAAGTGTGAAGCTCCTGAGAGAAGCTGAGACAGCACAGGGAGTGGGAAAGCTGCCCTCGTATATGGCAGGAGGGAGAGCTCTATGAGGGGTGGGGGCAGGAAAGGAGCGGGAAGCCCACCGAGAGAGCTAGGAAAGGATTGCTTGTAAAAAGGCACCTTCTCCACAGCTTTCAAGCAACATGTACCTGCTTCTGGGCCACAGAGCTCTCCAAAGGCTTTGTCTGTGTAATCTCCATGCTCCTTTACACATCCATAGTCCTTAGGCTTCATGCCATCTTCAAAGCTCAAAGTGTCATTTGGGGTATCCACTGCCTAGAGCAATTCCACAATGCTTCATGAAAAACTGGGTAAGATGTGTTAAATTTTTGTGTGTTCCCAAATAACACTAATCAGTAAGATACATGGTAAGCAATCAATATGTGTTCGTTAAACAAATCCATGCAGCTTTAAAGGTCAAACTATTTTGAGTAAGAGAAACAGCAATGTTTCCTTTCTTCTTCTTGCCAAGAGTGACAGCACTGATCACAGTTTTACCAGGGCTGTCTGTCTTCACTTGCCCCCTACTTCATCCCTCCAGTGCTTGGGGCTTTCTCATCCTTTCTCTGCTTTCAGTATCCAACATACTATTCTTTTTCCTTAAGCTGGGGTCTCACTGTGTTGTCCAGTGTTCTGGAACTCCTAGACTGAGGCAATCATTCCATTCAGCCTCCCTAGTAGTTGACACCACAGACACCAACCACACCCAGCTTTATAACCGACCAGACCAGGTCCCTGAAGCTGCTAATACTCCATCATCAATACTAAAATGATCACTTTGGCATCAGGCATATCAAGCTAGTCTAGGAAAGGAAGACCACGCTGGTAGTTAAAGGTAGTTGGAGCCCCTTCTCTCACACTAGCAGGCCAACCTCTTCACACATCCTGGAAGCCAGAGGCGCATCCCTCCCTAGACCTGCTCCGATCTGATTCCAAAGTTCTGGAACATCAGAAGCCAAATGGATGAGTAGAGAGAGATAAGTACTAAGTACCACACTGCTAATGAAGTCACTGTGCAGCAGAATACCCATAAAATTATGAATGATGAGAGAAAAAATTGGGGGTCTGAGGCACTGGGGATTCAACGCTGACTGTTGTTATGCATGTTAATATGCTCTGCCACTGATTTGCACCCCCAGTTCCAAATTTTTTAATATTTTATTTATTTTTTATGCATATGAGTATATTGCCTGCATGTATGTGAGTACACCCATGTTGTGTGATGCCGTGGAAGTCAGGAGAAGAGTGTCAGATCCCCTGGAACTGGAGTTATAGACAGTTGTTAGATGTCATGTGGGTGCTAAGAACTGAACCCTGGTCCTCTGCAAGAGCAGCCAGTGCTCTTACTACTGAGCCGCCTCTCCAAAAAATTTTATGATGATAGAGAACATAGAGGACTGTGGGTGTAGCTCAATGGCAGAGTATTTTCCTTGTATGACATAGAAGGCATTAGGCTTAATGTCTAGCACCATACACACACAAATGAGCGTCGGGCATGATTATTCATATGCCAATTTCAATCTAAAAAATGAATTCAGAGAAGATGAAAAGAAAAAAAAAACAAGTTAATGTTGACACTGACATTTGTTAGAAGTTCTGACTAAAGCTGAAAATTTAAAAGGTGTTGAAATCAAGTAATAAAATGAAATCCAGGTTTTCTGTACTTGTATATTTGTTACTGCACTGAGAGCCCAAATGCATAGCTGAGATTTACCCAAAGACACCTACACGGTTATCAGAACCAATTAAAACACAAAACAGTTTCAGATTACCTGCTCAATGTTTTAAGTCAGCATATTAATTGTTGACTACATATCATGTCTTTAAAATTGTTTTGGTAGCCAGGTGTGGTGGCACATGCCTGTAGTCCTGGCATTCAGGAGACAGAGACAGGTGGATCTCTGTAAGTTCAAGGCCAGCCTAGTCTACATAGCAAGTTCCAGGCCAGCTGGGGCTACAGGGAAACCCTGTCTCAAAAAAGACCAAAAAACAAAACAAAACAACAAAAAAGTGGTAATAATAAAAAGTTAATATTATCAGGAAAATAACTCCTTTATAAAAGAAATGTAAATAAAAGTGAAATAATCTAAGGAAGTAACCTCACCTTTTTTGTCTTTTGGTGTTAGCCTGAACCTTTAGCAACTGCACCAGCTCTCCAGCCCAACCTCACCTCTTTTAAATGAAAAGAAAGTATTTTGAAGATTCATTTGAACATCAGATACCTGCTTTTTTAAAGTGGATTTAAGAAAATTCTCCTTATATTCCTTGCAACATTTCACAAAACTTAAGATATATTTATTCTCTCATAGCTGTTCATGGCAATAAATACTTAATGACCTACCTTTTTCTCTTGGAGGGTGTCTTCCTCAGAAATACACTTGTCTAAACTAATTTCAAACTTTACTCCTTTCTGGAAGAAAGCAAGGAAAAAAATCTCAGTCAGTTTAGCAGCTCAATAAAGTCTTAACATTATAAGCCTGGAGGTCAGCTTATGTTGATACTATACATACTTAAGATAGCAGGGGTAGGGGAGGGAGAATCACATAGGTAACCCAAATTATAAGGTGTGAACCCCCAATCAGTGTTCTTTTTAAAAATTATTTTTTATTTATTTATTTTTATCTTATATGTATGAGTATATTGCTTGCATGTAGGTAGGTGCACCTGCATGGTGCAATGCCCGAGGAGGGCATCAGATCCTCTGGAACTGGAGTATGGATGGTTGTTAGCTACCATGAGGGTTCTGGGAATGGAACGTGGGTCCTCTGCAAGAGCAGCCAGTGCTCTTAACCACTGAGACAACTCTCTAGCCCACTCCTCATCAGCTTTTGAATGTATAAGCAAAAAATAAGAATGTTTATTACCTTAGTTTTATGTCTCTGCTGTGGAATTTTACTATCATTTATGTTCTGAAGCCTAATTTGTTTCAGGTCTCTTTCAATGTTCTGAAAGTTTAGAGATAAGTATAATTATATCACTTAATATCAATCAAATATATTTTCATAATCTCTAAATTTACAGTGCTGTATATTTCTATGATTGCTTTCTACATTGAATCTGATAGTTGATTTTAAAATAAAAACATTTCTTTGTCAAGAAAAGTTCATTATTATTCACTATAATGTGACAAAATGCTCATTATTCCAGTGCAGTTTAATCCAATTCAAGAACGTAATTTTCTTTTGTAATGCTGGGAATCAAATTAGGGCTTTTGGGTATTAGGTGAGTGCTTTGCCGCTGAACTACACCCTCAGCTTTATAAAGTAATTTTGACAACAGGATCCTTCCCTTACAAGACTTATGATCTCTCTTCTGACTCTCTGTCTCTGTCTCTCTCATATCTGTGTCTATGTGGGTGTGGGTCCATCTGTGAGGATGCATGTGTGTGAAGGTCAGAAGTCAACATCCAGTTTCTTCTTCAATCACTTCTCCATCATTTTGTTTTTTCCAATATAAGTCTTTGTTTATAGCAAGTTAGTATAACAATTCATGCCACAAAAGTCTCCACATACCATAAAGGTACAAAGTATCATATTAAAACAATGACATAATTTGTCTTGTAGTGAGTATTCAAAATGCCAGTGTTAAATGTATGGATATTTGAAGTTGGCAGAAACTGGAACTTTTTAGTGCTTCACCATGGAGCTATACCCTAAGCCCCATTTATTTTTGAATGTTTTATTTGTTTGTGTGGTGTGTGTGTGTGTGTGTGTGTGTGTGTGTGTGTGTGTCCTTGACACATCTATGGGAGCTTAGTTGTCAGCCAGCCTAGCCAAAATGATGAACTTCAGGTTTAGTGAGAGATCCTGTCTCAAGGGAAAAAGGAAGGGAGACAGTGATAGAGGGAAAATATCCAACATCCTCCTGTGCCCTCTGCATGCGAATGCCTCACTGGCAAATGCACCCTCCCACACAGATGTATGTACATGCATACACCACACATACACACATACATATATACACACAGGCAACTTGCTTATGATGGTCACAGCTGCAGCTTGTAATGGGCAAAAGCTGGAAACTATCCAAATATTCATCCACAGTTGAATTGACAAATTTTGATGTATTTGTACAATGGAATATACTCAGCAGTAACAAAAGAATGATGAACTATTTATATGAGCAACACAGACAAATCTCAATGCTATTAAGCATAACAATGCTTCCTTCTGCATGGAAGAAGTCAGACAAAAGACAGCACTACAAGGTGATAGCGTTTATATGCTGCAATCTCATTTAGAAAACTAATCCATTATGACAGGCATTTGCAACTGCCTAGAGATTAAGCAGGAGGAGAAGCTGGTTCAAACAGGAGACAGATAGGAATTCACAAAAGAGATTCTGGCACAGGGAGAGGTCAGTCCACTGGGTGGGCAGGAGCATCGTCACTGGGAGGCACAAAGACCTCTAGCAACAGCCAGCTCTACCTGCACAGTTTCTTCTTCAGGGGCCTCTGTGCGGATGGGCAAGTTACTCCTCTTCACCAAATAGGTTTTATGACCGAGATCTAAGTCCTCCTATAACAAAATTACATACTGTTAACGAGATTGGTTCTGTGGGTTCTGGAAGCTACTTACTGTCTGTCCCTCTCCCAGAGTGATAAGGAAAAGTTATATTCTCATAACCAAACTGTATTATTATATAATGTCCTTGTAAGCATAGGCCATTTGAAATTTCCTCTTGTTCTAGTTACTAGGTAGATATCTTGAAATGCAACTATGTGATATTTTTCTACTCAGTGATGTTTTATTGCTTTGCGATGGTTTCACTACCCTGAGATGTTTTATTACTCTGTAATGTCTTGAAGTTCTGTGATGCTTTCTAACTAACCACGTCTAACTACTGATAACGATGTGAAACTGAGAAAATGGAAAGTTCACCAAATGTCTAATAAGACACCAATTAGTCTAAGAAAAGCATAGATCAAATGTGACAGATTATCTAAACTTCTGCCTGTAGTATCTGTTTTTGTAAACTGCAATAACCATTTGACCAATTCCTGGCGCAATTAACCTGGCCTAGCTGTAGATCAAAAGGCAGCAGACATTCTGACCCATGCCTGGGATATCTACTTTGGAAGCTATGATGACCAAGTGAACTCAGGAAGGAGTTTTCTTGAGATGGCATGGCACATCAAAGTAAAGAGTCATAGGGCCCAGATGGCAACCATTAAATGATATAAAAAGTCCTATATGACTGATTTATACAGTGCTCTGACAATCTTGAAACATTTGTTGCTAATTCTGGGACCACATGCATGTGAAAATAAATAAGCTTTCCAATGCGCTCCTGGGTGAATGCTTGATCACTCAGCTGTTAGAAGATTCTGTCCGTAATAAGGGTATGAAGAGCTAGTCACTAAGCCACCTAAAGCCCTATTTATTCCTCCTGTGTCTTGGAACTGCCTTAGTATTCACCAAACACTCCTTTCACAGTCTTTCTAGAAATGCCTGCTACCAAGCCCTAGCTTAGCATGCACAAGATCCCAAGTTTGATCTCTAGTACCGAAAATTAAAGAAAAGAAGGAAAGAAGGAATGAAGGGAGAATATCTGCTATCCATCTTTTTGGACTCAGGTTTCCACATTGCAGACTTGCCTTACATATAAGGCTGATGGAGGACTAAGGCTCCCCAGCATGAACAACTGCTCTGGAGAGACTCACCACAGGCTGCCCCATATACAGCTAGTCCAAACCTTTGCATGGCTCTTTCAGAACACATTCCTTAGCACTATGGTCCACTCCTCTTCTCAGCCCAATTTTCCCCGCCCCCACTAACCTCTTCCATATCAGCTTTCATCTCTCTCAGGTGACTGACCTTTGCTCTTTTGCACCTATGTGGTAACTGTGGTGATCCTATTCTGCTATCGTTTCATACATGTGAACTTTTAAGTAGAACTGCATTGGTAGAAAGCAAATGTTTTGGAGGTAGGCGCTTGACACTTAGCCTGCCTTGTAACAGCTAAGTGGCTTTGGATGAGTTACTGAACTTAGGTGTTATGGGGCATAAATGAGGTTGTTACAGAATTCAGGACTACCAGGAAGGACTCAAGCGAATTGGAATTAGCCAAATTTTTTTATTTAAGCTACATAGCTAACCATACTCTCCGAGGGTATGTGGAGAGTCTGTGGTGGGCTTCTAAGTAGGGGAGGAAGTCTTTAAAGGTTAAAAACCACATTGCTTCATTTTTGTGGAATGTGAAGCTGCAAGGGGAGAGATTACACTTCCCTCAGGGACAAGGGATGAACATGTATACAGAAGCCAAACAAAAATAGTTAATCATACCATGACAGTCACAAGACAGGGGCGTTTGGGGGGCGGGGGTTGCTGGAACTAAGTTCAACCTTGGGTCTGACTTGCCTGAGACAATATTGAGGTGAGGGTCAAGATAGAGTCACACATGTTAGCACAAGGTATACTGGGAAAACCCCAGTTCTCAGCCTGGCATGTAGGACTTAGGCTCACTTACACTATTTTATGCACATGCACTTAGAGGAAGGTGGAAGGAGAAAGATCTGTTGCAGCAGCATGGAGGGTCTACTCAGCAAGTGCACAGCTGAGCAATGTGTGGTGCCAGGTGACCTCTGAGCCCGTAGGCCTCAGGATGGGTGTGCCAGGGGCTACGGGTATTCCTAGAGCTGAAATGCCTGTATGTTTTTCATAAAGCAGATCAAATGCAGGCTAGCCAACTCATATACCGAAGGTGGCAATCTGATGCAGCTCCAGAAATCCGAGAGACAGAAGAGCCTCCCCGTAGCACCTTTATGGACTTTTTTCAAGAATTGTCTCAAATGCATCCAGATTTTGCTTGCATCACTAAATGACAGAAATACGTTCTGAGAAATGTGAATATCACAGAGTGAACGCATACATACTAAGATGGCAGTGACATCAGTAGGTAATAAAATCTCGTGAAGCCACCATTGTCTCTGTGGTTTATCATTAACTAAAATGTTATTGAAGGAGAAAGAAAGATAAATACCACACGTTTTCCCTCATATGGAGATCTAGATTAAATAGCAGAAGGAGGACCACCTGGGGAGAGAAATGAGGCCAGCAGGAGGAGACAGGAAAGCAAGGAAGTTGGTAAGGGGGTAACTGTGAGTACAATGATAGATATGTGTGAAGAGGCCACAATGAACCCCGACATTTCATATGCTAACTTAAACACTATTAACTAAACCCCCAAAGAAATGTAACGCTGCACAAACTTCAGAGCCTTCTTCTGCCCATAGTCGATTTTAATAAATACTGGTCTTCTTTACCCTTGTTATGGGCATGAGCCTACACTCATTTTTGACTTTCTGTACTGCCCCAAAGTAGCTGCTCAGTAAATACTGATTGTGAAGAAGATAATCATCAAGTATTTTTAATAATAGCCGTTCTTAACCAAGACTGTCAGACCCTGCCGTTGTCTTGTGTAGCCACCAGTAAATCGTAATAAACCAAGCTTCTATTAGGTCTGACAGTGTTCCTACGAAGAACCTAAATGATCACCTGTATATAAAACTATTCTTTCTATAAGGAGATGGTGTGTGTGTGTGCACTGCACGAGTGTGCACATGTGTGAACATGCATGTGTGCATGTGTATGTGTATGAGTGTGCACATGTGTTTATGAGTGTGTGCATGCATGTACATGTGTGTATGCACATATGTGTGCATGAGTATGTGTGTGTCTGTGTATGAGTGTGTGCATGCATGAGTATGCATGTGAATGTGTGTGCCTGATTATGTGTGTACACATGCATGTGTATGAATGTGTATACACGTGTATGAGTATGTGTACACATGTGTGCATGTGTGTGCACATATGTGTTGGAGTGGGGAGGGATTAAGCACAAGGCCTTGGACAGGCTAAGCACAAACTCTTAGCACTGAGCCTCAGCACCCACCATGGTCTCTGCTTCCCCTACTTGCTCAGCCTCTGACAGAGCATGCCCTCTCCAGTAAGCCGATTTACCTCCAGCTCTCCCCACCTCTTCTTTTTAATTTCCTTCATATCTTTGTGGTACTGCTGTCGAATCAACTCTAGCTGTTTCCAATACTCCTGCAAAGCAAAGCCAATATAAAAACTTGAAAACAACTTGAAAATAATCTCCACATGATCTACAGGTTTTGAAATGCACAATATAAATAAGCATTAGAAAATCTGTTGCTTCTAAATGTAATAATCTGCCCCATTTCGGCTGTGGCACCTCATATCCTGTAAGAGATACTGACTTGGGACAAAGGTCTTTGCTCATATACAATTCCAAATGATGTGCGGCTACTCTTTGCATATTCCACTTTTATGTGTAATCCTGTTATGGTTTGAATTTGTTGCCCCATCAAAAGGTATGATGAAACTGGGAGTAGGGTACATGCTTGTAGTCCTAGCTGCATAGGAGACTGAGGTGGGAGGATCACTTGAGCTCAGGAGTTCAAGACCAGCCTGGTTAACATTTGAGACTTCATCTCAAATAATAATAATAATAATAATGTTTTTTTAAATCTTCAGAGAAAACTCATGAGGTCCTACCACTCTATTCAGAATGTGACCTTATTTGGGAATAGGGTCTGTGCAGATGTAGTTAGTTAAAATAAAGTCATGCTTGCGGGGGGAATGGGCCTCTCATTCAATATGAATAGTGTCCTATTAAGAAAATGATTATGTGAGCGGAGTATGGTAGTGCATGCCCTTAATCCCAGCACTCAGGAGGCAGAGTCTAGGGGATCTCTCTGAATTCAAGGCCAGCCTGGTCTACATAGTGAGTTCCAGGCCAGCTGGGGCTACAGGGAGGCCCTGTCTCAATTAAAAAAAAAAAAAAAAAAAAAGTAAAAAAAAAGAAAGAAAGAAAGAAAGAAAGAAAATGACCATGTGAAGAGACCCAGGGTGAACACTGTGTGACATGTAACAAAGGTAGAGATTAGAGCTATGCAACTACAAACTAAGGAATGCCACAAAGATTTCCCAGAAATCACCAGAGGTTGGAGGAAAAGAGGATTCAGTCTACAGGCTTCTGGGGTGGGACATAGGACTAACAGTGTTGATTCTTGATTTCCTACCTCTCCAAGTATGATTTTCTGCTGTTTTAAGTCACCTACCATTTTGTTGTATTTCACTACAATAGCCAGAAGAAACTAATAAAAATCCCGCTCAAATTATTGATGGATGGTCACCTTATCACTCAGCTGTGCTGTATTCTCTGAGAAAGTGTCCAGAGACTTGCAGAACTATGTTTTGCTTACTCAGCATGTACAACAGTCATTCCACCCCAACCAGGCATCCTACAGGGAAGCAAGCAGCACCCCAGGGCAGTGCTAAGGGCCAGCATCCTGTAGGGAAGACACGCAGCACCCCACAACAGTGCGAAGAGCTAGACATACTACAGGAAAGCAAGCAGTGCCGCAGGGCAGCATGAAGGGCCTGACACATGCATGAGGGGAGAGAGAACTGGGCGTTTTAAACCTGGTTCTTCATTTTGATTTTCCTATCCTGAAGCTCCTGGAATGTAGGGTCTTCTCCCGGGCTCCGTAGCTCTTCTCTCTCATTGGGATATGGCTCAGCAGAAGATGGACGAAGACCCTATTTCTCAAATGAAATAATTCATAAGGCACACTTGCATCTTAGAAACAAACATCTGCTTTAACCTGCACTTGTTTCCTATAGACAAGAATTGTTACCAAGCAAACCAAGTGGGAGACTTTATGGTAAGCAGTAGAATTTTCTTAATTGAAGCATTAAATATTAAACAGCATTTAAACTCAATCACTGAGGCTATTAATGAAACAATTGTCATTTTATGTTTCACCCAAGACATCTAGATTCATGTGCTGAATTGGTAAATTATAATTATGAAATTAAAGCTTTAAAGGTTTGGCCACCCCACAGGAATTATACATATGGGTGCCCTGGAGCTGAGGTAGAAGGAGCAACAGAGTTTAAGGCCAGTTTTACGTAACAAGTTCCGGGCCAGCCTGGACTACATAGCGATACCCTGCCTATAAATGGATAAATAAGAAATAAGTAAATTAATTTTAAAAATGAATAAATAAATAAATAAATGGTGGTTTTGATTTTATAGAAGAATGAACTTGGACTTATGGATCCATAAATATTTGTGGAGAGAAACTATTTGAAATTCCTGATTGCTTCCCCTATTTGGGATTCTACTCACCAACTGTTTTTCCACTTTCAACTTATATTGTTGAGCTTCAAGTTTCCTCTGAAGGTACTCAGCCGGCCTTAAAAATTAAGAATGTTTAGCTAGAACAGAATTCATTCTCTCTCTCTCTCTCTCTCTCTCTCTCTCTCTCTCTCTCTTGATTGGGAATAATTCTTCAGCTAGTGTTGGGGCATCTATAGAATGTTTATCTATAACACAATTTTCTCTCTCTCTCTCTCTCTCTCTCTCTCTCTCTCTCTCTCTCTCTCTCTCTCTCTCTCTCCTCTCTCTCTCCCTTCCTTCCTTTCTTCCCTCCCTCCTTCCTTCACTTGCTCTTCTTTTTCTTTTCAGCCCCTGAGTAAAACTTAACTGGTCTCAGGCACCTCTTTAATAGGTGTGTTTTCACTTAGGTAATGCCATTCACAGTTTACCAGTAGTTTGAAGTTCAAGAAGCAGTTCAAGGTCACAGAATGTTTATATCAGGAAAGAAAAATCTTTGGAATTGAGGAAAAATGAAGCCAGTGAGATGGTTCGGGGGGAAGGGCATGTGTAGCAGGGCCTTGATGACTGGAGTTCAATTCCTGGACCTTCATGGTAGGAGAGAACCAAGTTTCACAAGGTGTTCTCTCTTAACTAATCAGTTAATTTTAAAAAGAGGAAAGGGGTAAAAGGAAGAAGAGCCTTGGTTAGGGGCATGGAGAGCATTAAACTGAAAGGTATTCTGATCCGTGAGGTTTTCTTTCTTCAAGGCAGGATTTGATCTTTCTATCCCCTATGATGGGGGGCTGGGGGTTGGGGGCGGTTGGAAGGGAGCAGCTTTTCTCCAGCTTTAAGTAATGGTTGATCCAGCTCTTGGCTCCTGACTTCACACAATTGTCAGGCTGCTTCCTGCACACACCACGCTCTGGAGAGCTGGGTGGGGTCAGGCCCTTTCCCCTCACCTTGACACAGACATGCATAAGGGAATGAAAAAATGATACTTTAAATATTTAAATTAAATATTTAACTTAAATATTTAAAGTATCCAGGTTAAGTTTGGTCAAATTGTTGTCAGATTTATGTCTGTGTCCTGTCCCTTCTTCCCTCCCTTCTTCCTTCTGCTTAGTGAGACAGAATCTTTAGGTAGCCCAGGCTGGCCTCAGATTCCCAGTCCTCCTACCTCAGCCTCCCGGGTTGTAGGGATTACAGACTTGCACCACTATGACAGACTATACCCATCATTTTTAGCATGCTCAAGGCTGTGGGTTTGATCTCCAGCACCACAAAGAAAAAATAGTATTCATCTATTTTACACAATTGCTTACAAAGAATTTTTGTAATTTCTGGTTGCTAAATAAAATCTATTCCATTTCCTATTGTAGTGTGAACTACATGACAAAGGAAGATTTTTAGAATACTGGTAACTTTTAGGGCTTTACTGTCATTTCAGAAATAACTCACTTAGTTACATCATAACATTAGTTTAATAATGATAAATGACAACTTAGTTAAGGTCTCTAGGTTTTAGGTTCTCATCTGTGAAATGGGCATAGCACTGCTTCACAGGGGTTACTGTGGTGGTCAGAAGAGATAAGGCCTGTGAAGGTGCCTGGCCTGTCTGCCACATGCAAAGTGCTTGATTCACATGAGGCCTAAACGGTAGCACTCGGCCCTCCACTCAGCCTGCCTCAAAACCTCTTGATAAACATGACAATATTTTCTTGAGATAAGCTATTACCCAAAGGACAAAGACAAAAGATGCTCATATTCCCTCTCCCTCTCCATCTTTTCTGCCTCACCAAATCCCCCTCCTCCATCCCACAGCCTCTGGTGGGATGCAGGGGTCAAACAATGAGGGTTGGGTAACCAGGCCCTAGAAGGCATTCAGAAAGTAGGGTAAGGCAATGACAGACCAGGGCACAGAAGGAAGTGGAGGGCTTTCCAGTGTTTCATGTGAGGGTTTGTGTGGACATCTCTCTTATCTAAGCAGAGTGGAACAGATATTTTTTTTCCTAATGGCTAAAAAGAGAAAAAAAATTTATGGCTGCTCTCAGTTTACATGTGAAATATATATATATATATATATATGTTCCTCATTAATTAAAGCTTACGTGAATGTTGCATTTTGAACTAATGGTACACTTATTTGTTTGTTTAGAGACAGGATCTCTACGTAGCCCAGCCTTTCCTCTAACTCATGTAGCCCAGGTTAGCCTCAAACTCACAGCAATCTTCCTAACTCAGCTTCCTGAGTGCTGGGATAACAGGTACATACCACAACACCTGGGGGATAGCAAGTATGCATCACAACACCTGACCTTTATTTTTTATAATTATTTTATTTTATTTTTTAACTTTTACAAAAACTTTATTGAGAATTTCATACATGCATATAAGGTGTTTTGATCAAATCCATGCCCACTCCCTTCCCTCCAACACCTCCCATAACTCCTCATCACTTTTTTCTTTTTCTTTTTTTTCTTCTTTATTTATTTTATGGGGTATTTTATTTAAGTTTTTGGAGACAAAGTCTCATTGTATAGCCCAGTCTGATCTGAATGAAATTCACTACATACATAATCCAGGTTAGCCACGAACTTGCAATCCTTATGCCTCAGTCTCCCCAGTGCTGAGATTACTGACACTGCCACCAAATCCAGCTTGGCACATATATTTTTATGATTCTTTATTGAGTGTAGTTTGAAATGTGTTACAATGGTGGATAAACTGATAGGAGTACACAATCATTCAAAAATATAACATCAAGGGGTTGAAATCAGTTAAAATCACTGGCTGCTCTTGCAGAGGACCTGGGTTTGGTTCCTACCACACATATGGCAGCTAACAATTGTCTGTAAGTCCAATTCAAAAGGATCCAATGTCCTCTCTGACTTCCATGGGCATTGTGCATTGCATGCACATGGTGCACCTACACACGTGTAGGCAAAACAGGCATATACATAAAATTAAAAAGCCAATAAAAATTTATATTTAAAAATAAAACAAAACATTGCCAGGTGTGGTGGCCCACACCTTTAATCCCAGCACTCGGGAGACAGAGGCAGGTGAGTTCGAGGCTAGCATGGTCTACATAGTGAGTTCCAGGTGAGCTGGGGCAACAGGGAGACCGTCTCAAAAAGACCAAAATAAAATAAAATAAAACATCAAGCTGAGTATGGTATTCGCATCTATAATCCAAACATTTGGGAGGCTGAGGCATGAGGATCATAAAATGGGTTTCAGACAGAATGAGATTCTGTCTCACAAATGAATAAACATTTACTTTTCCCATAATGGACTTCTGGAGAATTTGTTCTTGCACTACTCTTGTTTCTCTCATGTTCACTAATCACAGGTGAGGTGACCATCATATACTCTTTTGTATGTTTCATGATTGCCCTCAAAGTTCACTTCCCTAAGCCTGTTGGATGCTGAGTATCACAAAGATACAAAACCAAAACCAAAACAACAACAAAAACCAAACTCTCAGTCACTGGACTGTGATAGTGTCAATTATTCTGGACACAGGAACGCTAACATCAGTATTTTTTAAAGTTGAAAGTATTACAGGTCTGAAAAAAATCCGTTCCTGAGCAAACTGAAAATTTCTTCCATGAGAACAATTTATTCTTCTGAATGCATCCATATTTGGAAACTCACTAGAGTATGAATATTAAATAAAATCTGCCTCACTTTCAGTTGTTATTAATGATTCTTATTGATAACCTGTTTGGAAAATAAACAAAACACAACTTTTGTTGTTCATTTGTTTCTAATTTTGTTTTGAGACAGGCTGGTCTTGAACTCGAGATCCTCCTGTCTCTGCTGGTATTCCAGGTGTACACCACTATGCTGAACCTTTACAGAATCAATTTCCTCATCCCTCAGATAGTAGAATTCACTAGAAGGAAGAATAAAATATTTAAAATTCAAGAGCAGGAATCCCGCCTACAGTTGAATGGCTCCACGAATGAGAAGAGAAGCAGGACCAAGCTTGAGATGAAAAGGGCCATAGAAACTGGGAACTCAAGTGTGTAAAGTAGAGGTTTTAGAAGTTCTTCCTGATTATTTGTTTTAGTAGGATTGGGGAAGATTTAAGAATAAAGAATATTGACAGATGGGGCTGGAGAGATGGCTCAGTGGTTAAGAGCACTGACTGCTCATGCAGAGGACCTGGGTTTGATTCCCTGCACCCACATGACAGCTAACAGCTGCCCATAACTCCAGTTCCAGGGTCTTGAATGCTCTCTTCTGGTCTCTGCAGGCACCTCACACACATGGTATACAAACATACATGCAGGCAAAACAGTCATAAAATAAACCACAAATAAATAAATAATTTTTAAAGAATAAAATTTGGATATGAAAATCCAAATTACCTTCTACGTACTTCCAAATAATGCCTTCATAATGTACAACCTTCTTGCTGAGAGTATTTCTTAAAATGAAATTTGTACGTTTAAATTTATAATGACTGTAGATAGCAGAATAGGAAAAGCACAC